TTAACAAAATAATAATAATAGGCCGGGGCGCGGTGGCTCAAGCCTGTAATCCCCAGCCACTTTGGGAGGCCGAGAGGCCGTGGTCCACGAGGTCAGGAGAATCGAGACCATACATCCCTGCTCAACGGTGAAACCCCCGTTTGTTTGGAGATGGAGTCTTGCTCTGTCACCAGGCTGGAATGCAGTGGCGCAATGTCGGTTCACTGCAACCTCCACCTCCCGGGTTCAAGCAACTCTCCTGCCTCAGCCTCCTGAGTAGCTGGGACTACAAGTGCCCACCACCACTCCCAGCTAATTTTTGTATTTTTAGTAGAGACGGGGTTTCACTGTGTTGGCCAGGATGGTCTGGATCTCTTGACCTCGTGATCTGCCTGCCTTGGCCAAAGTGCTGGGATTACAGGCGTGAGCCACCGCGCCAAGGCCACTAACTTCGAACTCCACATTCACCGCAAATGGCAAAGAAACCATTATGCTCCCAGGCTTCCCTCTCACTGACACCCACAGGGTCCCCAATTTCTCACCCTCACCCACCCACACATCAATCACAGACACTTGCATGCATGCTTGGCATTCATCCCAAACATCAAACTCCCAAGCCCTCCGATCATTCCTCCTCACAGACTTCACTGCCCACCCCATCAGTCCTTCAGTCATCTCTGGTACCCGGTCACTGATACAAACAAGCTCCTTCTCACCTGGTTCCAACACCCTCAAATAACAAAGCCAATGCACAGGGCACGAGCCAACAAAACAATCCCCATTCAACGATGCACACTGGACCTTTTATTCCTAATCCTCCACAGGCCCCCAGACACTCACCTGGCGTTTACCATTCCTATGTCACACCATAGACCCCATGGGCCAGGCAGAGTCATCCCTACAGGCCCAACTGATGACTGGACCCCAGTGACTCCCACACGGCTTTTAAATACAGATGCCCAGACACCATCATCACCGGCACCCCCAAACCCCACTTAAGAATCACCACAGACTGAAACCCCAAACACTGAGTCCCAAAGGATTCCCACAGAACTCAGACACTCCTGCAGGTGAGCTGGGGAGGGAGGGGAAGAGAAGGGTGGGGAGGGAGGAGGAGGGTAGAAAGGGGAGGAGAAGGGTGTGGGGGGGAGAAGGGTGGGGAGGGGAGGAGAAGGGGCTTCAGTCACCCCTCCAGGTGAGGTGGGGAGGAGAGGAGAAGGGGCTTCTGTCCTGGGACGAACACACCGGTCTCCATTCACTCACTTTATCAGGTGCCCAGGTCACGCGCTCACAGAGCCCCTCCCCAATAACTGACATTCTCAGACTTGCGCCACAGACCACCTAAATTGGACCCGTCACTCAATGCCAAGGGATCCCTAATCCCTTATCCCTGGGGCCCCCAAGCATTTGCCCCATGACATCCCATTCTCTAATCCACTCCATGCTGGAGCATTCACTGACACTCCCACAGCCCTTCCCAGACACCAGCTGGAAAGGGATTGTGGGGCTGTGCACAGATGCCGACCCCGCAGGCCGCTCCAATGACGCCAAGTACGACCCCGTTGTCCACGCACTCACAACCTGCAACGGGTCCACCATTAACTTACATCCAGACTCCCTTGTCACAAACACACAGCGCCCCCATTCCTAGTGCTCCAATCATAAGATCCCCAAACACAAGCACAGAAACCAACCCCAGCCACTCGCCAGCATAGGCCACCCCATACTCGCCTCCGCTATTGGAGACGCGTTGAAACAGCAACCACCGTTATTCAGCTGTCAAATAAAACATGCAACTGGATACAGCAAAGACGGCTCCGAAAGGTTGTTGGAAGTGGTGGAAAAAGACGCGGAAGAGGGTTGGGAAGGGGAAGGGGCTTCTGGGAAGAATCCCGAAGCCACGAGACTCACGTGCATCTCAGCAAAGCAAAAAGGGATTTTCTTTCATAGAGAGACGTGAACAGGGGTAGCCAAGACCAGGCCTGCCAGGCGAGGTGGAAGTTCGCGCGACCAGACAGCAAAGCAGAGGAAGCCTGACCCTGAGCCAGCCTGTTCTCTGCCGAGGCTGCGTGTTGGCTCAGGCCGGGGATGGGCCAAAGCTCAAGAAAATGGGGAAAGGAAAGAAGCTTAGCTAAAGTTTGGTTAAGGAACATTTTGCTCCGACCGCTCAGTGTTCAGCCAGTCACTGATGAGGCAAGCGACAGCAACGTGGCGGGTCTGTGTGAACAAGGGGCATCCTGGAGGCTGACCTAAATCATATAGGGAAGGGGGGTCTTTGCAGCGAGTCATCTCCTGGAACCCAAAAGCGTGGGAAATTCCTCAGCCTTCACTGTTTCCCGGAGCACAAGGCTCTGGCGAAATTCAACACTGTCACAGCCGGCAGGCTTCCGTCAATGGAACCCACACAAGCGAGCCCCTAAACCCTCCCAAGCAGACCCCGCAGAAGCCTCATCATTCACCCCGCTGGCCTCCAGTGCTCACCACAAGGCATCCAAATCATTGATCAGCAGAGTCCTAATCGCTGCAGACACATCCTCCACACGGCCTCCCAGGGGCCCCTCTCCCCTAGGGCCAAGAGCAGCCTCGCGTTCCCCTGCCCCGCCCGCGCTGCACCCCAAGTCTACAGGGACCTCCATAGGCCGCCAGTGAATCGCCCAGCTGACCCCAAATCTCCCCCGACCCCCACATTCAGCGCCCCGCCGCCGCCCGCCCTACAGCCCCCACCCCGCCCGCTGCCTCCCACCCCCGCGCGCCCCCAGGGCCCCGCCCGAGGCCCGCCGTCCGCGCATGCGCCCAGGCCGCCCCGCAGGCCTTTCTGGCCCCGGCCGGCAGCCAGCTCGGGCGCGCTGGGGTTACTGCTAGCCGGTCCGCAGCGGGGTCACCGCGACCCCCGGCGCAGACACAGAGCCCGCCTCCAGCCCCGCCGCCTAGTCGTCCCGCCCCCGCTGCACACTCCCTTACCCCTCGGACCTCGCAGTGCCGTGGTGGACACGGCCGCACCGCGGAAGTGAACGCGCAGAGAACTACATTTACCAGAGTGCCGCTCGCGCTGGAACTACACTTCCCGAGGGGCTCCGCGGTGCACCCGCCGGGGTCGCCCTAGGACGTTTCCGTTTGGAGAAGCCGCTTGGCGGGTAACTGGGGAGGACTGGAAGAAATCTAGGATGGAGCCAGCAGTGCTGGCCCAACGTGTCTGTGAGAGAACCTAAAGGCGCCTCCAGGAGGACGCCTCTGCATCTTTTCCTTGTTTTTTTGTTTGTTTGTTTTTGGAGGCAGGGTTTCGCTCTGTCACCCAGTGGGGAGTGCAATGGTGCCATCACCACTCATTGCAGCCTCAGGCTGGTTTCCCAACTCCTGGGTTCAAATGATCCTCCTGCCCCAGCCTCCTAAAATGCTGGAATTACAGGCATGAGTCACTGCGTCCGGCTTCTTTTCCATTTTACATCACAGCTGTAAGTAATATAGGTAAATTTTAGTGTTACGCGCGTTGCAGTGAGCCAATATCGTGCCATTGCACTCTAGCCTGGGCGACTGGGCGAGACTCCGTCTCAAAAAAAAAAAAAGTAGCTGGGAGTGGTGGTGGGCGCCTGTAATCCCAGTGACTCAGGAGGCTGAGACAGGAGAATCGCTTGAACCCGGGGGGCGGAGGTTGCAGTGAGCCGAGATCCCACCGCTGCACCCCAGCCTGGGCAACAGAGCGAGACTCTGTCTCAAAAAAAAAAAAAAAAAGGTTTTTGCCAGGCCGGGGGCGGTGACTCACGCCTGTAATCCCAGCACTTTGGGAGGCCGAGGCAGGGGTATCACCTGAGGTCAGGAGTTCGAGACCACCCTGACCAACATGGTGAAATCCCGTTTCTACTAAAAATATAAAAATTAGCCAGGTGTGGTGGCTCATGCCTGTAATCCCAGCTACTCAGGAGGCTGAGGCGCGAGAATTGCTTGAACCCGGGAGGCGGAGGTAGCAGTGAGCTGAGATCACACCACTGCAGTCCGCCCTGGGAGACAGTGAGACTCCGTCAAAAAAAACCCATAAAAGCATATTAATTTTTACATAAAAATGGGGAAAAACAGGAAACACACACAATTGGCAATTTAAAAAATTGGAATGGCCATAAAGACCAAATTCAAGTATTTGTGAAATAATATTTAGCTCAATTCTATATTAGTAAATTTGGAGCCTGTGAGAAGTGGGGTTTTGCTCTTGTTGCCCAGGCTGGAGTGCAATGGCACAATCTCAGCTCACTGCAACCTCCGCCTCCCGTCTCCCGGGTTCAAGCGATTCTCCTGTCTCAGCCTCCTGAGTCACTGGGATTACAGGCGCCCAGCACCACTCCCAGCTAATTTTTTTTTTTTTTTTTTTTTGAGGACGGAGTGTTGCCCAGTGCCCGAGGCTAGAGGCAATGGCACGATATTGGCTCACTGCAACCTCGTGCTCCTGGGTTCAAGTGACTTCTCCTGCCTAGGCCTCTCGAGTAGCTGGGATAAGGTGCACTGCCACCGTGCCCGGACTAATTTTGTTTATTTTTAAGTAGAGATGGGGTTTCCAAACAAACATGTTAGCCGGGCTGGCTCTCCCATCTCTGTAACATCGTGATCCCACCACCTTGGCCTCCCAATGTGCTGGATTAACGGAGCTATGAGCCACGGCACCACAGCCACTCCCGGCTATTTTTTGTATTTTGGTAAGCATGGGTTTCCACCATGCTTGACCAGAGCTTGGTCTGTCAAACTTTGACTCCAGTTTGATCCCACCGCCTCGCTGCCAAAGTGCTGGGATTCAGGCCCTGGAGTCTGCACCTGGGCCACGTTGCCCCGGTTCTAATTGAAATTCGACTTGTATTTTAAGGCAACCCATTTCTCGTGCTCAACAGAGCTAAAAGTGGAAGGAAGTGTCTGCTTAAGGGGTTTTGTTTTTGTTCTCGAAATGCTGCTTGTTCACAGGATTTATGGATGTTTTCACTTTTCCTCTGAGCGCTGTGTTGTTATTTATAAATGACTCACTAGAATTTCTACGCCCTCCCTTTTTTTTTTTTTTTTGAGAGGAGTCATTCGCTCTGTTGCCCAGGCTGGAGCACAGTGCATGCTCGCCTCACTGCAAACCTTCTGCCTTCTGGGTTCAGGCATATTCGTCCCATCTCTGCTCTTGAGTAGCCTGGGATTACAGACACCCACCATCATGCCCGGTATGTTTTTGTGTTTTTGTAGAGACGGGGTTTCACCATGTTGGCCAAGCTGGTTCTCTAACTCATGACTCAGGTGATCTGCCTGTGCCTTGGCCTCCCAAAGTTGCTTAGGACTTTACAGGCATGGAGTCCGCAAGGCATGGCCATGGCCTTTTCTTCCCATTCAAATTTTGGTCGGAAAGAAAAGTTTCTCTCCTCAAAAAAATATTGCATGATCTTAAGTAAATTATAAGTAAAAAAAAAACTGGCTAAACTCTTAAGTTCAGTTCATTTGACATATCTAAGGTCCCATTTTAAATGACCAAAGCCAATAAAAGAAACTTTCTATAAAGACAGAGATAAGTTTTAAAGATAAGACACTATTTCTCCCAGCCAAAAGATAGCTTAGTGACTAAGGTTTTGTGAAACTATTTAAGCTCATCCTTCATGACATACATTGGACCCATAAGACTCCCCTCAACAAAAAAACATACAAAAATATCCTAGTGCCCTAAGTGCCCCAAATTACTGGGTTTCACCAAGACATATAAGAGGAAAAAAGTGACTCATGGGTGACTCTTCAAGAAATAATCCTTATTAAGCAGCATGCCAGATCCAACAACTCTTTCCCTTTTGGTCTTTGACCATTAAAACAAAAACCCCAAATTATGGACAATTGTCCATCTAACACTGAGTCTTTACCCTTCAAAAGAAATACACCTTTAATGGCCAGATGCAGTGGCTCATGCCTGTAATCCCAGCACTATGGGAGGCCAAGGTGGCAGAGCACCAGGTCAGGAATTTGAGACCAGCCTGACCAACGTGGTGAAACCCCGTCTCTACTGAAAATACAAAAATTAGCTGGGTGTGTTGGCGGGCACCTGTAATCCCAGCTGCTCGGGAGGCTGAGGCAGGAGAATCACTTGAACCAGAAAGGCGGAGGTTGCAGTGAGCTGAGATCGCGCCACTGCACTCCAGTCTGGGCAAAAGAAAACTCCATCTCCAAAAAAAAAAATACACCTTTAAGTAACTCCAGCTAAATTCATATTCATAAATAGTACTTATGATGTGACCTCCCATCAGTATCTTTTAAAATGGTCTTATTTAACCCATAAAGATCCAAACTACGAAGACCAAAATGAAATGCCATTAAAAATACCTAAATTAGTTCATTTATGTACATAATTTTTAAAAACTGAGTCTAAAATTTTTAAAAAATTGAAAGTTACTTTCAATTTTTGGATGCTAAAAAGCATCCAAAGGAGACTCTGAAAATTTCTTTCCCTACAGAAAAAATTAAACTCTCTAGAATTATCGATATATTAAAAAAGGAAACTGCCAAAACTTCTTCTCACCCTTCTGCTTCTCCATCTCTTTATCCCTCCTTCTCTAAACTGCCTTGCCAAGACTTGGCTTCTTTTTTCCTCCTCCCATCCAATCACTTATCTTTTGTAAATTATTATGTATTAATGTGGAGTCCTAATTAGGGAAAAAGAGTCAGGGTAGTGGGAACAGGGGAAAGCAAAATAAGAAAGAAGAAAAAGCAGATAAGCTGTAAGTCTGCCTTTCCTAATGGTCCAGGACACAGAGTCGTCCTGTGCAAATAACTCACAATCTTCCTATGTCTAGCTATCGCCAGACTCTCAGCTGATACAAAAAATGCAAGTCAGCTTCCTGCAACCTTGGTGTTATCAGAAATGAATGTAACACTGCAGCCCAAAAACCACCTATTCTATCTCCAGGAAGTCTGCGTTTCCTTGCAGTCAGTTCCTCTCTTGCTGGCTGCCCATTACCTTCTTGAAAGTATTTTCCTACTTCCTCTAATAAATCTGCCTGTGTTCGTGAATTCTTTTTTTTTTTTTTTTCTTTGAGACAGAATCTTGCTCTGTCACCAGGCTGGAGTGCAGGAGCATGATCTTGGCTCACTGCAACCTCCGCCTCCTGGATTCAAGCTATTCCACTGCCTCAGCCCCCCGAGTAGGTGGGACTACAGGTGTGCACCACCACGCCTGGCTAATTTTTTGCATTTTGGTAGAGACCGGGTTTCACCATGTTGGCCAGGATGGTCTCGATCTCCTGACCTTGTGATCCATCCTCCTTGGCCTCTCAAAGTGTTGGGATTACAGACGTGAGCCACCACGCCTGGACCTGTCTTGGTAAATTCTTTTACTCCTGTTCCACTTTCCCAGTTCCACTGCTCCCCCATGACAAGTTATATATCTATACAAGTTGTAAATATATATTTATAATTATATATTTAACATATATGCCTTTTTATTGCTAACTCAGACCAAATAACACAGAAAACCCGTAACTACTACATCTTCAATATAAAATAGCAAGTATATCTTCCTCCCCAAGAAAACCACCTTAACTAATCAGACCATTATAACGCTACATTAAGCCTTATATATAAAAAAATTAAAGTTCTTTTAAACTTTCCTAAACGTTGTCTATATAAACAATCCCAGACTTCTACACTTCAAAACACGAACTTTCATTCTTTAAGATTTGTACTTCCTAGGTGGCTATCCTCAAATTTTACACTGAAATAAACTCTATTTAAACTAGATACTGATCCTTTTAGTTATTTTATTTATTTGCTTTGTTTTTTTTTTTTGAGATGGAGTCTAGCTCTGTTGCCCAGGCTGGAGTGAGTGTTGCGATCTTGGCTCACTGCAAGCTCCGCCTCCCGGGTTCACGCCATTCTCCTGCCTCAGCCTCCGGAGTAGCTGGGACTACAGGCGCCGCCACCTCGCCCGGAGCTAATTTTTTGTATTTTTAGTAGAGACGGGGTTGCACCTTGTTAGCCAGGATGGTCTCGATCTGCTGACCTTGTGATCCGCCCGCCTCGGCCTCCCAAACTGTTGGGATTACAGGCGTGAGCCACCCCACTGGGC